CTGCACTGCCTGACCCGGCCGCCCAGCAGTGCCGCGCCGGCCACCGTCACCTACCCAGCCACCTTCCCTCTCGGGCCCCTGGCCGATGACTAGGTTGTCCACGCTCCATGCTGGGTCCCCGCCCACAGCGGGAGTTGGGGTGCAATGGCTGTTGGGAATCCGCCCCAGGACCCCACAAGAGCCCCAGCATCTCTGAGGACCCCACTTGGCTCACCTGGCCCCACTCTGGGGCTGGGTCCTGATGGCTCCCCAAAGCCTCCAAGAATAATAGGCTCCTGTGAGCCCCAGAGACCACCCCTAACTCCCAGGATGCAGTTGTGGAGACCGGGGCCCAGGCAGACCGCCTGGCAGGGCCCCCCTGTATGCACTGTGAATCGCCCACAGGGGCAGCCCCTTGCTGAGCAGGGAGGGTGCGCCGCCCTCACGTTCACATTTCACACCCACCCGGCTCCTTCCCCGGGCAGGGCCGGCCCCTCCCGTGGGGTCCATCCGACCTTCCTGAACTGAATGTTTTTAAATAAATTATTTTGTATCCACGTTTGGAAAGGGGTCCTTGCCTGTGCACCCTCCTCCCTGTACCACTGACCCCCCTCCAGGGAAGCCCACAGCCCACCACTCCCCAGAGAGCCTCAATCCAGAGGACACCCCACTGGATCCAACTCCCTGCAGCCCCTGGGCAGGTGGGCCCAGCCTCGGAGCCTGCCTCCCGTCTCCTCCGGCTGCGGGGGGCTGGGCAGTTCGGGACTTGGCTGCCCCCAAGGACCCTGAGGCTCCCCTAGGGAGGTGGGAGCACCCAGAGCACCTGGGACGGGGGAGGCCTGGCCTGGTCCAGAGCCCCCCATCCTCAGCCATCGTCACACTGGATTGCACCCCTAAGAAGTCAGGGCCCCACGATCCTGCGGGAAGCCTGGCTGGGGTGTGCAGAACCCCTGAACCCCAGGCACCGAGGGTCATGGGGGCACAGAGCAGAGCTGCTGACGTGTGGTCAGCAGTTCACACACCACAGCCCCCAGCAG